TCCCCTGCGAAACAAAACGCCCGCAGAAGGACGGCCGCGGCTACGCCTCGCGCGCCTGCCTGCGCAGCAGCATGTTTCCCGCCACCGGCGAGCGCCACGACAACGCCGGCGCGTTCGAGGTGCAGGACGAGAAGGGGGGGTGGCACAGCCTGCAGCTGCTCGCCGACGCGCTCTACCTGCTGCTCACGCCCGAGGCCGCCGCCGCCGCCGACGACGACACGGCGGCCTTCGAGGCGTTCGGCCACCTCTTCCGGCACCAGGTGGGGAGGGGTGGGGCGTTCGTTTGCGGCGGTTGCGGCGGTTTCTCCCCGGCAAGCGTACTGGGCTGCATGCGCTGGGCTGCCAACTGCCTCAGAGGCGCACCCCCCGTGTCTGGCACGTCCAACTCCCTCCCTCCACTCTGCACTCACATGCCCTTCCTCCCACCCTCCAACCCTCCCTCCATCCCTCCCGCCCAGGGCACGGCAGCCCCGCTCTTCGAGATCCTCTACGCCACGCTGGTGGTCGACAGCGCGGACAAGATGACCGTGCCGACGCCGGAGCGCCTGGCGGCCTTTGTCAAGGCGGTCGCCGGCATCGCCGCCGCGTACCGCGACGCCGTCGGCGCGTGGCCCACCTGGGAGGAGCTGAAGGCGTCTGCTTACGTGATCGACACCCACCCCAAGGACGACGCCGGTGGGTCGCGCTCGCGACTTTAAAGTGACAAGCTGCCGTTTGCTAGCTCGCTTGCGTGGGGGCGGCGCGGCGCAGCGCAGCGCGTTGCGCGGCTCCCCTTTTGCAGTGCACAGCCCCCCGGCGTGCGGCGCCTGCAGCTTTTGCCCTCCCTGCAGCTTTTGCAAACCGCGCATCGCTGACGCCAACCCCGGTCGCCCCCGAAACGCCACACTCTGCAGGCGCCATCGGCGGCCCCGCCTCCGTCGAGTGGCGGGACAAGGTCCTCGGCAACAAAATGCTGCTCCCCAAGGGTGTTTGGTGGAACGAGGAGGAGGGGACCTTTGAGGACGTGTCCGGCTACCTCAGCAAGGAGGAGGTGGTCAAGATGCAGAAGCAGCAGCAGCGCGAGGCGGCCGAGAAGGGCGGTGAGCCTCGGGTTGGCGGTGGGGTGTGTTTGCAGCGTTGAGCTCCACGCCGGCCGCCTCTGGCCCGCGGCCCTTGGAGTGCCCCGCCCTGCCTTGCCTTGCTCAAACCCTGCCCTGCCCTGCCCTGCCCTGCCTTGCTCGAGCCCGCCAGCTGTCGCTGACTTCACCCCCAAAACCCCACACCCCGCGCAGGCTATAGCTCGGCCACCACGCACAAGTACGCCCTCGGCCGCGACGGCGTGGCTGCGCACGGCGACGTGGTCGCGGCGGTGGAGGCGGCGCGCCAGCGGCAGGCGGCGGCGCGCCGGCGGCAGGCGCCGCAGCCGCAGCCGCAGGAGCAGCAGCCGCAGCCGCAGGAGCAGCCGCAGCCGCAGCCGCAGCCGCAGCCGCAGCCGCAGCCGCAGCCGCAGCCGCAGCCGCAGCCGCAGCCGCAGCCGCAGCCGCAGCCGCAGCCGCAGCCGCAGCCGCAGCCGCAGCCGCAGCCGCAGCTGCCGGACGCGGAGATGGTCGAGGCGGACGAGCCCAAGCAGCAGCATGAGCAGCAGCAGGGGCAGCCGCAGCAGCAGCCCGCGATGGGGCGCGTCCCGCGCGGCACCTGGGACGCGGCCGCAGTGACCGTGGGCCTCGACGGGGCGCAGGGTAAACTCCATAGCCGTCGCGACGCAAAAATGCACAGCAAGCGGCGCCTCGCGGCACTGGCGAGCGGCGTGCAGCCGCAACCGGAGGACGGCCTACGGCAGAACCCGCCGCTGAAGATGAGCGCGCTCGAGCTGGAGGTCCTCCGCGGCTACGCCGCGACGCTGGGGCCCCTCAAGTCGGGCCGCGAGTTCAAGCTGCCGGCCGTCAAGCAGCTGCTGGAGGGCGCCCACCCCGAGGGGTGGCGGCGCGACGAGACCCCCATGGGGCCGACGCACCGGGACAACAAGCGGCTGTACGACCGCGTCTACGGCGTGGTGAGGGGCGTGCGCGCGAAGCTGGCCTGAGCTGCCGGTCCCCCCGGCGCCGCCGCCGCCCTTTGGCCGCGGCGCGGGCGGTTGCGCAGCAGCAGCCCACAGATTGCCGCCGCCGCCGCCTCTTGGATCTCCCTTTTTGTTCAGTCCCCCCGAAATCCCCTGCTCAACTCGCTGTTTCTTTTGCTTTTAGTCAGCAGGTTTGGCCCTCTCCCTTGCTCATCAGCCCCCCCCCCAAAGCGTGCCTCTTCTTTCGCTTGCGGCAGCCGCCAGCCGGCGCCGCACCCGCCGCCTCTGGATTTGCCTTTTTTTTCGAAATGGCCGTTTTTCTTTTGCTTTTTCGCCAGCTGCCGGCTGCTGCCTTGGAGCGGTTTCCGCTTCCTTCCCCTTGCTTGCTCGTCAGCCTCCCCCCCAGCGCGCAACAGCGGCGGTCATCGGCGCGCTGATGCGGCGGCTCGCGGCGCGCGCGCGGCGGTGACTGAGGGCCGGCAGTGGGCCAGCCGCCGTGGGCGCCGTCTTGTACGAGGGCCACAGCGGCGGTGCATGCGTTCGCGCCGGTCTGCTTGCTGTGCAATGCTTGTGTGCGTGTTGATGTGTAAAACAGCGACGGATTACACAAAGCAGGCAGCTAAACAAGTGCATGCGCCGTTCCCACAGCTGATTAAGGGCCGCGCTGCAGGGCTGGGGCCATGCATGGCGTCGCAAAGGCCGTGCGGCCGGCGGGTGCCGCTGCCCAGCAGGTGCCGCCGCTCCAAAGTCAAACGCGGGCAGGGCCCCCCATGCCAGCTCCCTTTGGCGCGTGGGCGGTGCTGGTGACCTGTGTGCGGCTGCGTTCGCTTGGCCAGCCACAGCAGCGGCGCGGGGCGCTCAGCTGCGCAAGGATTCGCAGCGCTGGGCTGCTCGCGAGCCGCCACGGCGGAGCGACGGCGTCCGCCGCGGAAGCGCTTCCTCTGCTGCAGCCGCGCCCTGCGCGGCAACGGCAAGCGGCGCGCTTGTAGGGGTGGGCTGGCAGGCGTGTCGCGACGGGGTGGGGACGCCGGCGGCGGGCGCAGCGGGGCTGCAAAGCAGCAGCACCAGGCCTGGCACCTGGCCCAGGAGGTGCACGCCGCGCCCAACAGGCGGCACCGCACACATGGCGCCCCAGAGGCGGGTGAGGGGGGCAGAAAGGGGGGAAAGGGCTTGCCGCCGATTTGATTTGATTTGATGGTTACTCCGCCCACGGCATCGTGGGATCCTACACCGGGCCGCATTTCTAACCTCCCGCCCGCCGCCCGGTCCGGCGGTGCGTCGGGTGCACAAGCAAGCATCACCGCATCAGCGGATGGGCAAGCAAACGGCGCGTGGGGCAGTCCAAAAAAAAGACCTGCGGCCACCCGCCGCAAAGGCCAAAAACCAACTGCCCCACCCTTCAGCGCGCGGCTCTCCCCCGTCCCGCGCCGCAGCGCGCGCCGGCGGGGGCAAGCCGCAGACGCCGAGAAACGAAAGCGCGCGCGCGAGGAAGCCAAAGCAACTGCAGGCACAATAGACCATGGGGCAGTGTCGCCAACTGGGTCGCCCTACACAGCCGCCGCAAACCGCCCCAAGCGCGCGCCTCCAACACGGCGTGGCGGCGCGCCCCCAAGGCGCACACAACAGAAGCAAGAATCGAGGGGCGGCTTAGGCCCATGCCGCAGGGGCCGGG